TGAGTTCATATACGTACTTAGTGGATGGTAAGGTTCAGCTCATGACTCAAAAATATAAAATGATGATTTAACAAGGAACACAAATCGACTACCAATTTCAGAAGCTACATATAAATATATAGTATATATAGTATAAACATATATATATATATATATATATATATTGTAATCTTTGATAATTTTTCAGAAATAACTATTTATTGTTTAATATCAGGAAGCTTTTATCTGGTTGATTGCGGTTTCGCAAATCGTCGCAACTTTTTGGCTCCATATCGTGGTGTTCAATACCATTTACAAGAGTTTTCTGGTCAAGATTCTACTCCACAAAATGACAAAGAGTTGTTCAATCATCGCCATGCTTCCCTAAGGAATGTTATCGAGATAATTTTTGGTATATTCAAATCTCGATTTCTGATATTTAATTCTGCACCTCCTTTTCCTTACAAGACACAAACAGAGATTGTACTTGCGTGTGCTGGTTTACATAATTTTCTTCGAAAGTTCTGTCGAACAGATAATTTTCCTGAAGAAAAGATTCTGATGACGAAGAAGAAGAAGGTGAAGAAGTTAATAACCATGGTGAAGAAATTCTTGTAACTCAAGATCAACAAAGAGAACATGCCAATCAAGTGAGAGCGACAACATCTACAAATATATGGATATATTTTTTTGTTATCATGATATACAAAATGCTAAACATATATTATAGTTTTTATATTTATTTTATTACAAAACTGAACTTAATGCAAATCCATTTGATTGATTTATGATAATCTAGTATTTTGATGTTAAAATCAATGAATTTATAAAAAAATTATAAATCCAAGGACGAATCCTAAATTCATCACTATAACCAATAACCCCTACTTAGTCCATTCAAATCCAAGTTTAAATCAAATTCTTAAATAAATAATTATTATTGAATAACACCTGATTTTAAAATCTATTTTAAAATCAGAAAACCAATAATAATGAATTTGAATATTGATTTTAAAATCATAGAACCAATAACACTATATTTAACTTGTATTTTCAAATCCATTAAAATGTATAAACCAATAACACCCTCTAGCATGTCTTGATCTTTGTCTTGTCATGTAGCAGCAATTTATTTTCAGCAGGAATCAAACTCAAAACGATGAGTTTACGCCTTGTTCTAAGTGGATAATGGACAATGAAAATGGCTATTAAATGATACTAAACAGTAGGGAAAAAAGAAAAGAAAAACAGATGAGAAGATGACCTGGGAATGGAAGAGAAGAAGGGGTAACATGGCACATGCGGGAAGGATCACATGGAAATATGGCATGTGAATCTGTTTCCAACAATATTAGCCGGACCCAGATGCTTGCCCAATTTAATTCTAACACTTTGTTAATGACTGTTATGTAGCTCCAGTGTTTTCGATGTTGTAGAGTAGCACGATGATCATTTTTCCGCCGCAACTGTGTAAATCTCTAACAATAACATTAAAACATTAAATTTAGTGTAAACTCATCTCCAACAAAATATCAAATTTGATACTATTCCACTAAATTGGTATAATGTGAATAGTGTTAATACTATTCATTATACCAAATTTTTAAAATACATATTTTATTATATTTCATTTAATAATATAGTTAAATTATTATTACTAGAAAATTTTAATTAAATATAAATATATTGTAATATCTTTTATCAATTAATATATCACTAAATGAGTAATACTATTAAATTTATTGGACAATAAAATAACATTATATTTTTATTTACTAATATATTTAAACTTGTATTAATAAAAAATAAATTGTTATTAAAATAAATTATTATTTTATGTGATTTTCATATTTAATCATTTGTAATTTTAATTATAATAAATATTTTGAATAAAAAAGAATATTGATAAACCAAAAAAATATAAATATAAATAAATTTTAAAAATATCAAACTACAAAAATTTAACAAACATAATATATAAGCATGATAAATAATTTTTATCAATCACAATAAAAATATAAAATTATTAAAACTGAAAATTTTAAATAATATATAATATTATTTTTGGTGTAAAATTTCGTGTATTTTTTGGAGATGACAAAAACATTATGACACTAAAACACTAATTTTGGTGTAATTTCAACACCAAATTAAGTGTGACATCGATATAGCTTACATTTTCGTTTCTGTTCTTGCATTCTAATATTTTTCTGTAAAATTTCATGCCTTTTGGGTTTTCGAAAGCATATGTTTAAATCCTATTCATATATTTATACATAATCAGTTTTTTTGTTTGGAAAAACATAATCAGGATAAGTCGGATAAGAACGACATTGAACAGTACTGTATGCAATGTGGATTTTAAAGAAAATCTATCTCATCTTCTTAGATAATTTGTTTCTAAGTGCTAATTTTGAAAAAAAAAATTAATAAATTCCACACAATTTTTTGATTTTTAATGGTAAACTATTAGGTTAAATTTGTTTTGAATAAAATATCTTAAACTGATGGTTTATTGATAGGGCGGGGAAGGTTTAATCCACAAAATAAATAGTATGAATTTTTAACATTAGATCTTTCATTTATGATTTTTTTATCGGAACAAATTTAGAGTGGGAAAAGCGGATCAAGCGGAACCACAATAAATCAAACGGATCTAGCGTACAACTGTGGATCAAGTGGATTTAGCAGTCCACATGCACATTTGTTTGAATGGTGAATATGGATAAAAAGCGGTCCAATATTATACTAAATTAAACTAATTATAATTTTTATATTACTATTTATTTTCTTAAATAAAATATTTTAATAATTTATAATTGCAATAAATATAAATTCTTATTCAAACATAACAGAAAAATACTTTATATAATTAATTATTTTGAACTTTAAAATTAAATATATCTAATTTTGGATGACTTAAAATAATTATAATTTGGGTAAAATAGTATATAATTTTGAGATTTAATATAAACTACACATCAATTTTTAATATGTTTCAAAAATATTTGAAAACCCATTGTTACGAAAATAAAGTATCATGTCAACTAAGAAAATATATATAGTCAATATTTATTATTTTATGTACATAATAATTAAAATGAAAATATAAATAGTAAAGCATAATGAGCGTTAAAAGATTTAAAATATAAATTTCAGAATTTATTTATGGTAGTGTTGTTCACTAAATAGTTTTATATTTTTTTTTTTTAAACTTTCAGCAAAAGACACTGTATATTTTTAAAATAAAAATATTGCTATTCACCGATCTTTACCTAAACCCCTTTTAGTTGAGCCATCTAAACGAGAGGTACCACTTTACTTTTTAAACAGTTAATTTATGGTAAAATTACACTTTAATTAAGGAGCTATCTAAATCGCAACCAGATTTTTTTTTTCGTTAATATATAGTGTTGTAAAGTGATTATGCAAATTTACAGTTTGTTGATGAGAGTTATAGGAGTCTACATCTATAAATTCTTTTCACTGAAAAAAACTTTAATAGGCAAATAACGTCTTAGTATTTACCGCATTAGTTATTTTGTTATATATATATGCTTTATCATTAGTTTCAATTTTTTTGCATTTAAAATAATCAAATAATACATATTATTAAAGTTGAACAAAGTCAAGACATAAGAATGCCAAAAAAAGTTTCGTTGTCAAAAAAAAAAAAAAAAATGCCAAAAAAGGCAAGACCTACAACTATTTTATTACGTGCAGACAAATTAGAAGGAAAAAAAAAACTAAAAGATGAAACAAAATCCGGTTATTTTTTCTTAAAGTAAACCATATCTATACCATTAAAGCAGAATCTCTATAAGGATTCTGCCCTTAATTTTGTTAGATATTTACAATGGTATGCCATTATTTGTTTTGTAAATATGTTTTTTTTTTTTTTAACTCAACTTCAAACTTCATTTCACCAAAATGTGGATACAAGATCTTAACCACAAGAGAATTGAACCACAAATGCATTGAAGCGGTTTAGTATCACCCTAGATCACTGAGTGGATCTAGTGCTACCAAACCTTGAGCTTCAATGCATTTTGAACCTCAGTGAGATAGGACCATTCCACGACTCGAAATGGACCATCTCTTCACCACCTAATTCGACCACATGGTACAACAACGTCTACTGACACAAAAGAAATAAAAACTAACTCGAGATCAAATAACAACTAGCTAGGTCCCTAATGATCAACGTTAAAGTACATGGTCCATTAGCCTCTTCGCCTAGGGTGTGTAGTCGAGATAGCATTATCCTCTTGGCCTTCAAACCGTTGTGACCCTTAGCCTAAACCGGACATAGAATCCGAATGAAAGTCGGGTTTGGCAGTCCAAAACGCTGGTCGTTATAACTAATCCAAGGTTTTAGAGAAGTGGAGCTCTTACCAAGGATAGAGCTTTTGGCACTAGGGTAAAGAGCCACCACCACGGACCACCGCTATAATCTCCTCCTCTTGAACACTTTATCCGCGGGAGCCATCATCCATGTGTTCTTCAATACCGAAGAACCATACTCTTCCCGCTTGCCATCGATCCATTCCTCAGCTTGTCTCACCGTCACTACATGACATAGATCCAAGGTGTTGAGGGCGTCTCCCAAAGCCACGCGCCGCCGCCGGACCGGAATCACCGGAGATCTGAAAGGGGAAAACCAGATCTGGTTTAACCGATAACCCTAAAAGCCGACCCACTGTCTCACCGCCGTCTCAATGGCCTCGCCGTGACTCCAAACACTCGGATCTTACCCCTAATCTCAAAACGAGACCTTTAAAGGTACTACTGACGCAGAGTAACGAAGCATATCAGTCAAGGATCAAGCGGGAGAAGCATAGAGCAAAGGAAAAAGAGAGATAAGGGAAGAAAGAGGCGTCTCCCACACGGATTAACCGGGCCGGAGCTAAGATTTAGAGAGAGGGGAGAGGATTTGTTTTTTTAGAGAGAGGACGCAATTTTGTAAATATGTATTTAATTAAATTCTATAGTAAAACTAAACATTTAGAAACTAATAATCTCCTAAATATACGGCGGCATTTTTCGTCTATCTTCTTCACTTTACTCTTTTTTTTTTTGTTAATCTACGGGAAAGATCTGAAATAGCTCCTCCGATGGAAACGATGTAGTCATGGCGTAAAACTTATGGCCTGAAGTTTATCAAACATCCCTTTTTTCTCTACACCAGTCCCACCGATCAGAAGAAATATCATTAAGAATCAAAAAGAGCTGTTTTTAAGGAAAGGAAGGATATATATTCAAAAAACTCCTTTGAATGGCGTTGTGGAGTTGCGAGATCGAAGAAATAGGATGAAGCGATCAAGAGGTTAAATGATCTCTATTTCAGAGCATCTTATCATGGATTCAGGTATTCTGAAATTTCGGTCATAGAACCATCAAGGAAGTTTTGATTGTTTGATATTATGGATCTCGGAAGGCTTTGACTGGATTTTCCAATCTTGGTTTACTATTTTGACTGTTTTTTTTATTGTTTCATTATGCAGAAATTAGGGCTTTGATCTTCACATGATTTGGTTATTCCTGAATGCTCCGGGAAGGTTTGAAAATCTCTCCTCAGCCAACCTCCACCCTTTCTGCAGTTTCCAAACAGAGGTTTTCACACTGTTTTTTTCCAGAAACGGCCAAGCCGCAGAGGCTTTCGTCGCAATTATGTGAAAAGTTCGTGCTTCTTCCTTTAAACCTCCACGCCACCACTGTAATGAAAAACGCCTCTTCTACCCCTGTCTCTTGATTTTTCTCAGCTTAGACCATTAGATAAAGATGGAGCTCCATATCTAAGCTGAAACCAATTCATTGCGATAAATTCAGGGCTACAACCGACTGGACTATACTCTGTGGTAATAAGCTCAGAACAAGTTCTTTTAAGTAAGTTTACAACTTTCTTTGGTCCTTAGCCACAATAAGCTTTCAAGAATGTATAATTATGTATTTGTCTTATACATGGATACACAGATTGGACGAAGAGATGACCGGGTCCCTATTTGGACACACAATGCAAATCTCTACAAAGAACGAAAAAGGGAAGTGCAACACTTCATCCCCAGGAAAACACCTTTTTGAACCTAAAAGACTTCAGAACTTTAACGTTCTCTTTAAAGACCGATCAGATCTGCACTTCTTTAGATAAAGATAAGCCAAGATCAGCTCGAGTCGATCGGTTGCGGACCTGATCTGATTTTAAATCTTTCTTTTGTTTCAGGGGAAGAGTTGTGTTTACAGGAACCATAAAGCATTGGTGAAGATGGTGCCAACTAAAAGAGAAGAGTTGAAGTTGTATAGCGACAAAGGAGTAGTAGATGAGCTTGGCTCTGCTGAGAAATTTCTAAAGGCACTTGTGGTAGTACCATTTGCGTTTCAAATAGCTGAAGCAATGCTTTATACAGAGGTACTCAATGTTCATTTGTTAATTCTGTGTTACAAGGTAGGGTGATTGATGCAGAGAGAATATTTAGGAAATATTCTTAATATTATTATCTTATTTATTATTAATAGGATAATTACTTTTATTGTTTTAGGGTTTTTATGGTTTTCTTATATATAGCCGTTTAGGTTTAAGAGTTGTAGGAAGTTTTTGATGATTAATAAAAGTTAAGAGATTTCTCTTTATTCTTTGTTTTCGGTAGATCATTGATGATCTCAACGAATTTAAGAAGACATTGATCTTAGGTATTCTTAGACTAAATAAGATCTTTGTGATTATCATAGTTTTCCGGGTATTCTCAGAATCAACGGATCACTATTTCTATCCCTAGAAGCTTCCGCTACATCAGTGATTAATTCAAAAGTACATAATTAGGAACCTTGCAAGGAGAAGTCAAGCAGGTTATTCGTGAAGCTTTTAGAAGATTTCCTTAAGACTAGGAACAAGATGAATATAGGAACCAGATGTGGTGGTGCAAAAGCCATCGAAATTGACACTCTGCTCAAGCTCTCTGATGAGGGCACAAATGGGAAGACAACTCAGCTCCACTTTATCCTGCAAGAGATATCATGTGATATTATATGTTGATTGATTTGAGTTATATAGAAACTACATTTAATTTTAGATTCTTTTATTAGTAATTTTCATCTAATATATCAACTGATTTTTTTTATCTGAAACGATTTTTATTAAGTATTATGTGATTGTAGGTGTAAATCTATAAATTCCATTTTGTTAATCAGTTTAGACATGTTTTATAAAGAATACTCCCATAGTTAATATTAAATTAGTTTGTATTGTTTAGAATTTTGTAATAATTATAGATGATTTGAGATTACACTTAGCTCCAATATGGAAAGCTTATGCTAATACGTTTATTTTAATATGGATTTTATCTAAACTATTAAAACAGGAGTACAAAAATGAAAGAGTCCCGATTTTTCCTCAAAAATTACCATCACATGCCATCAGAATTAAACACTGTCGTTTAAATTTAGCTTTGCTAACCTATTATTTCACTAGACCATAAATTCGTACCTTATTTCAGGAATTGTTTATGGTAGGTACTATATTCATCTACTCCACCTTGGGTTACTCCGAATCCTTTGCGCATCTTCCTTCATGGTGTACACACCTGGCTTTGGGTTATTGAATTAATACTCAGAAAACGTGGAAGAAGAAGAGTTACAGCTCAGGCCATTGCCAAAACGAAGGCAAAATGATGTGAGCGATGTAAGTAATGTCTTTATAAAAGATGAAGTCCTCATAACTTAATTTCATAAATGAAGGATTGATTCACTGTGTGATTGAATTATTTTGTTTCTAGGCGAGTTACAGAGCAAATGAGATTACAACTATTGTGAATGGTTCCATGCTTAAGATTCCTAAAGCTTTCCAATCACAAGCTTCGCTTATTAATTAGGTGGAGAACTTTAGTTTCTAATTGTTTTTTTTGTTTTGATTCTTCTGTAGAGATAGAAGTCAACGACATCTTGCGACATAGCATGTCTTCTCTTCACCAACGCTGGATCTGAAGAAGCTTTTGTGTGGCAATGGTAGAGGGAAGCTCGCGTGGTGGTGGAGGTGGAGTCAAACAAGAAGAAGAGAGGCGGAGAAGGAGAGAAGAAAGAGACGGCGTAGACTAGGTTTTAGTTTATTTTTTTCTTGAAAATTTTGGTTTAGTTTGGTTTACTTTGATGTACCAGCCTTAACTTGGTAACCAAATTTGATATATAAAATATTTTTATGATTAAGGTAAAACTCACCTTATAACTTTTCATAAAATACTTAAAAAATGTGTATAAACTATAACTTTTTCCAATTTAATATCTAAAATACTTATTATTAATTTAATTAAAATAATAATAAGTTTCGTAATTTTAAATTTCCAAAATCTAAGAAATAATATTTAAATATTTAATTTTACTTTAAGATTTAAGAAATAATGTAAATAAACTATAGAGAAATTTTTAAAATTAAAAAATTAAAATTGATGGAAAGACATTTATTTGTTTTATATTTCAGAAAACAAACTAAACTCAATTATTTAAAACATTAAAATTTTATTACAAATTTAAGATTATAAAAAATTTAGTTAATTTTATTTCTCAAAAACTAAATAAAATTAAAATTTTCTGAGATATGTTTTGAAAAATTTTAAATTTCGTTTCAAAATTCTTAGTATTATTTCTTAAAATTAACAAAATTTAAGTATTAAAATGGACACATTTATTAAATTTTGTTTATTAAAAGGAAAATAATTATTAATTGAGGTATTAAACTAGGTTGCGCAAAAGTTTGGATATTAAAATTTTTATCAAAATTGAGTTAGGATATTTTTATGAAAATTCCTTAAACATATTTAATTGCATGTAAAGAACGCAATGGTATATTGGAGTATGATAGCAGTGCAAAAAAACGTAAAATATCGGGAAAATTTCATATTTAAACCTGATGTTTATCTGTCATGCCTTTTCCTACATGAATTTTGTAATAATGTGTATCTCATACTAAAAATATCAGAAATTGAAAATACTACATGAACTTTAGGCTTCATGTCTTTTCATTCTAGAACTTTATAATCATGCATATTACATATTAAACTAAACAAAAATGCCCGTCAAATGTGTTAGACATTCGTTAATTTATCAAATGACGTCATTTTGAATAAATTTTCTAAAATTAAATTTAATGATAAAAATGGCCTAATTCAATAACTTAGATTAGTCTTGCTAAATAAAATTTTCAAAATTCTATACTTATTTTTGAATGTTTTTTCGTAACTTACTTTCATTATTTTTTATGTTTCTATATAAATAATGTATTTTTTTTTTAGAAAATATCAATGTAAAATTTGAATTTTATATTCAACTTTAAATCCCAGTATTTATAGTTTAATTTCATAAAACCCGCAACTATACTTAAAACTCTAATATTTTACGTTTTAATATTTATTTTACTAAGTAAAATGAATAAAAGTACAATGAAGAAAAAATACAATATTATAGTTTATATATATAGACCATAAACTACTGAACAAGACACAAATATGTCAAAATACTATAAATCTATAACAAAAACACAGAAAAATTATATTTATGTAAACATTTAAACGTAAAAAACATATAGTTATGAAAAATATATACCCGCGCGGGTGCGCGGGTCCAAGGCTAGTTTTATATTTAAAATTTAAATTTTGATTGAGCCAAATTCTAACCATTTAATTGCAAAACTCTTATTAGGATTTTACCATTTTTTTCTTCATAATTACAATGTCATACCACTGTTTAGTTTCTTAACATAATTAATATTTTTAAAACACTTCAATTTAGTTACGTTGTTGTAAAAAAAAACACTTCAATTTAGTAAGGAACCATCCTAAATAATAGTTAACCAATTTATTCAATCTTAAATTTTCTAACAGATTTAGTTAAACTATTGAAACAAAATCAATGCAAAGATATTGAAAATAAATAATTTATAATACTGGTCTAAATAATTAAAACAAATCTGAATTTTACTTCACCTAAGAAAAATAACCAGAATAAATTTTACAGTATACTTTTATAATTATATGAAAACTTATAAATAAATTATATGAATTATAATTTCTGTTACCTAAAAATATTTAACTTAGAAATTAATCCAACAAAATCAATGCAAAACTTCTTAAATAAATAAATTATAATAGAAAACTAAATAATTTAAAATTTTCTATATTTTACTTCACGTAAAATTAATAACATAATAAAATTCACACATATTATTTTAATTATATACAAATTTATAAATAACTTATATGAATTATAAATTTTTATCATCTAAGAAATTTATTTAATGTATAAATTAATCCCGCGCTTTTAAAGCGCGGGTCAGATCTAGTTAAACACTATTAAAGCCGAATCCCTATTAGGATTCTGACCTTACTTTTTCAAATTATTTACATTACCATACCACAGAAATTTAGTTTTAATATATATACTATTTATTTAAATTAAACAACAGAATTTTTCCTATACTTTTGGTAACTAATACTATCCATATTTTGTAAATAATATAATTGTAATTTTATGCAAATAATACTTTCCACTAAATTTGAATATTATTTTCGTGCGTAGTATTATTTAACAATTAAATTTGAATATATATATATATATATATATATATATATACTATGTCAATTTACATAATACTAATATGCTAAATTTGAAGCTTCAAAAATATTTTAAAACTTATCATAAAATCAAAACTTTACATCTAAAAAAAACAGTAATAACTTTCATAAGTTATTAAAAACAATAAATAAACTAATATAGTCATATCAATAAATTTTACTTTGTCTATTATCGTTATTTAATTTTTTAAATAACTTAATAAAAAATTCATCAAAGTATATGATATTACAATTTTGAAGTCTTAATATGCGTTACTTAAATAAAAAAATAAAAAAATATTATCTTTGTTTTTTTTCTAGCAAATCATCTGATATCGGATCATAGGTTAATAGCGGGTTTTCGATTTTTAAAAGGTTTTATCTAATTTTTAATTATCAACTTTTTATTAAATCTGAACCGGATTAAACAAAAATCGCTGAATCTATCGGTTTAACGATAGTCTGAGTCGGATATGAAAACATTTCTGAAAGTTAGATATAATAGTACATTTGTTTTTGAAACACTAATATAGATACTTTGAAATTGTTTATTTTTAATAATATTTATAAAATCACTCAAACTGTATCAAAATCGTAAAATTATACTCGCGTTTTAAAAGCGCGGGTCAAAATCTAGTCTATACTATTAAAGCAAAATACCTATTAGGATTTTACCATTATTTCTCTTTATAATTACATTGTCATGCCATTACTTAATTTTAAACATAATCTCTAAATAAGAAATATTCCTAAATAATAGGTAACAAATTTATTCAATCCTAAATTCCCAACATAATTAATTAAATTATTAAAAAAATTCAGTCAAAACATTTGAAATAAATACATAAAATATATTACGGTTCTGAATAATTTAAAATTTTCTAAATTTTACTTCACTTAAGAAAAATAACCATAATGAATTTTACACATAGTTTTTTATAATTAGATAAATTATAATTTTTGTTACTGAAAAATATTTAATTTAGAAATTAATCATGTGCTTTTAAAAGCACGGATCGAAATCTAGTATTCAATTAAAGAGATAACAAAATTATTGTTTATTCCTTATGACCAAAACAAAATTAGAAATTGTTTTATGATTTATCCTTTGGAAGTCTTTATTTAGCAGAGAGAAGTAAATAAGGTGAAGACCTCATAAGAAGTATACTGTTCAATATATATCGTACTTTGATCTAATAATTTTATTTTACAAATGTATAAAAATAATTTGCGTGAACTTTTTTATATATCATCAACATTAGAACCAATAAGAAGTATATAAATCAAAATTTAATAAAATAGAATTTTTTCAAATAATATTGATCTGGTAGTTAGGTGTGGTACAATGGTTATGGTTTAGCAACAAAAAGGGTTTTAACATGTATGTTTTAGGGTTAGATTTTAGATTTCTTTTTTTTGTTTTATTGACCTAAATTTACATATAAATGTTGAGTGTTATAATTTCACATATTTTGGTAGGTGATGCAACTGTTAACTGAGAATTTTTGGTCATCAAGTACACATTTAGGGATTGAGTTTGGGGTTTAGGGTATAGTAGAAATATAATGGTGTGTACTTAATTTTAGGGTATTGTCTTTTGTAGTCACCTAGGATTTAATAGTACAAAACATTATTTAAATAAATTTAACTTTTATGAAAAATGTGAAATCATTTATTAAAATTATTATAAGAATAAAAAAACTCAAATTCAGAAATTAATTATTTTAAAATTAAGAATAAAGAACCAAAAAAATCGTAATAGACTTATTTGTAAATATACCAAACCGGAAACAATTTAAGATTACAAAAATCAAATTGATTTGGTTAATTATAGTTTTTTTATGAATAAATTAAAATGATAATCTTCAAAAAAAATATTATAAAAATTGAGATAAACTACTAAAACAATAAAGAATAAAAAATAAGAATGAAATTATCATCGTAAACTTCCAAAAAATCTATCATGTAGACTTACAATATAGTATACTCTAAAATTTTAATTTTAATAGACTTCAAAAAAGAATTTACAGTGTCGTAAATTTTAATCTTATTACAACTGTGTCACCATATATGTAAATAAATTTACACAATCTCTCTCTAAAATTATTGCACAAGTTTCTAAATTACTCTCACATCTCTCTAAAACTATTTCTCTTCTCTTTAAAATTCTCTAATTTCTTTTTAAATTCTTTGAATTTGAAAAAAAAAAATTAAATTTGTTATTTTACTCATTTCTTTCTCACAATATTATCAAGTTTTTTGTAGGTATTATTATTCACGTCTTTCATCTTCCCCTCTAAAAAGTAAGATTTAGATCTATATATTTTAAATGTGTATTTTTATATTTATATTAGCTTTTCACATTTTAGTCAAACACAAAACTAACTTACTTTGTGGTGTATACTTCGGAAGTGTACAAAAAAAGTTTAATTTTTGGTCATATGTAGAACTGACATCTTGTAGATTTCAGGACAATCTACTTGATGAATTTTTCCGATAAATTTTAATATGAAAAGTAAAAAATTTGGAAAAATGCAAAACGAACCTCTTTTAAGTAGATTTTTTCGTAAGCTTGCAAAAAATTAGTT